TCCAAGTCGCGCAAGCTCAAATTTCAGGATGTGCCGCGGACGCTGGGGTTTCACGTGCTTCTCATTGCATTCTCGAGCACATTTTGGAACCGAATCTCCAAGTAGACGCGGCGTTTTCCCGTCGCATGAATCAATCCCCTTGGTATCGAAAAGCACTCGAGATCCACATTCCGAGTTTTAGATGCTCGATTCCACGAGCACCCACTCGAGACGAACATCAGTGGCAGCACACCATATCCAACCCAGCCATTCCCCAACTAGGCGTTCGATTCCCCGCAAGTGCCCACTGGAGACGCACGTCAGTGGCAGCACACCGCATCAAAACTCGCCATTCCCCATCTAGAGGCTCGATTCCACAAGCACCCACTCGAGACGAACGTCAGTGGCAGCACACCACATCCAACCCAGCCGTTCCCCATCTAGACGCTGGGTTCCACAAGCGCCCGCTCGAGACGCACATCAGTGGCATGACAGCACATCAAAACCAGCCATTCCCCCATCTAGACATTCGATTCGACAAGCGCCCTCTCGAGACGCACATCGGTGGCATGACAGCACATCAAAACCAGCCATTCCCCATGTAGACGCTCGATTCCACGTGGAACCATCCAATCTTTCGCAAATAGAAGTGATTGTTTGAAAGTGGGTTTCCCGAGTGTGGACGCTCATCGACGCGTATTTCAACCCAGCGATGCGAGATAAAGCGACCACTTGTATCATCAGTCAGAAGGAATTGGTCGCCTTCACGCAGCATGGCCCTGTAGCCTCTGGTGGTCACTGTCTGGAGCTTCAGCCAATGGCATGTGCAGACTACGTCCTCGAGATACAGCAATAGGGCCAGCGCCAGGGCTCCTCGTGTGGCGCGTAATGCGGCTGTAGACGTGCTTGAAAGCTCCAGCAAGGGCGCCGCGTAGGGTTTCAGCCACTTCTTCACGATCGCAGCCTTTGGAAATGCTGTGACGTAATGGTGTGTAAGTCGGGTCGGGCCGATCTCCAGACCGCTGTTCAAGAACGATTGCGGTGGAAACTGTGATGTGTGCCCCAAATGGATGGCGGCCGAGAAGCCACTTCAGGCGCTTGGGAGCAAACGCATCAGACTGGTGTTCATGGAGCTCTACAATTTTAACACCCCCTCGGGCCAGCTTGGTTCCAGCCTCTGTGTTGGCTTTCAATTGGGTGAGCCTCTTGGATCGTGCGATTTGGCAAACCTCTTGCCGCGCTTGGCTCCACCCGAATCAACTCTCGGGTTTCGCCAACCCGACTGTGGCTTAAGATGCCCGGTCGGAAGTGCTTGGCAAGGGCACTCTCAACGGCGCGGTTGGGCCACGCCCACACCGACTTGCCAGCAGACGGGGAGGTGCTGGGCTGCACATGCCGCGTTCACCTTCTGCCAGACTGTAAACGCCCTGCGAACAACAATACTAGGAGTGTCACCCTCGACATCACATCCCATGTCATCAATGAAAATATATCGAGGTGAGCCAGCTCCTGCATCTCCCAAACCTCCCGCACCTGCGCGTAGGGGCATCCAGCTACCACTCCTCTCGGCGCGCGCTGAGACGACCTCCTCGGCGACGATGTACCAAGAACGCTGGTAGAGGGAAACGGCATGAAGCAACACCAAAGGAGGAAAGGAGTGCTCAAAGGCCGCCGCGATTAGACGGGAATGAACAACATGCTCAGATCCAGCACAAGCCTTATGTCACAATGCTTCTGAGCCTGAAAAACCTCAGCTCGAACAGCCTGCCCAGGAGTTTTTGAGTATGTCTGTGCGCATGCCATCGAGGCCCTGTGCTTTCCGAGAAAGCTTGGTTATCGCTTTGGCCACCATCTGCTCAGCTATGTCCGAGACATTTCAATGCTGCTGCACAGCTAGAGCTTACGGGCAAGGCTGAAGTGACAGGCTTCCTCGGTGCGAACATGCGGAAGTGGGGCCGGAGCTCCAAGTACGGCCTCGCAAGAAAATTTTAAACCTCGTTCGGTGGCGTTGGAAAACCACGATTGGTAGTTCTCCTGTTGCGGAAGTTGCTTTTTGTGGCTGAACGCTTTAACAAATTTGGCAACGTCCTGAATCAATTGTTGAAACACAATATTCTGGTCTTGGACCTCCAACCGCGATTGGGCCGTGAGGTTGCTGAAACTGAAGTAATCCACTTCCGGGCCCTCCCGTGTTTGAGAAACATGCTTTTGGAACAACCCTGTGAACTGAGCAGGTGCTCCAGAGAAGCCTTACCACATACTCGACCACCTTTTCACGCGAATTCAAGAAGGCGCGGTGGACAAGGGGCTTGGTGACTTCAAGCCATTGCCTGAGGTGTCCCGAGTGGACCGCACAGCGGCCAAAGGAAGAACCGGATGGTCTGCAGGGGTCGGTCTAACACCCTACCTCCTCGGTGCGTTGAGACAGAGGCATGGGGCCGGAAAGGCGCACCCCAACTCGCTTCAGCAGCAACTGCTTGTGCGAGCACAAACACGCCAAAATCGATGAGGCTTCCCGGCATTGGTGGTGGACTGGTTCGGAACAACCCGTTAACGAGCTTGATGAGGCCAATCGCCTCCAAGTCGCCTGCTCCAGTCTCCGTTGGCTTTGCCATCCAGGGTGAAAGCCTGTCCTTGCCGGAAATTGGAGTGGCTAGGGGCTGCCACCACTAGTGCCTTTTTCTGATGGCGCTGGCACCTGCGCATGTGAATGGCTTTGGTGGCCTCCGGCTTGGCATGTGCCTCTTGAAAGGCTACCAGGTCCGCAGTCTGCTTGAGAGCCAGGTGGTAACCTCCTTCCTGTGGGAGGTAACACGGTAGCAAAGGAAAAGGGAGGGTCGCCGCTGCTGGCCAGGATTTGGTCGATGGCCACCAAATCCCTCCAAGGTCATCGCACGATTCCGCCAGCAGTGGGCTCCCTTGCTCCTGCTCGAAGCCTGCCATTTTTCTGAGAACGCTGGCGCCCCGGTGCGCTTGCCATCCCTCACCGCTCTACGAGGCGGCACTCAGAGTCGCCGATGAACGGATGAAAAGCTGTTCACCCTAGCGGTCGTCTGCGAAATGAACAGCTTCGGGGTCTGTCGAGCAGTGGTCGGAGATGCGGCGCACGTCGTCGTAAGGACAAATGTTCTCTGGGACGATGCCACAGTAAAAGAGGCATCTCCTTTCCGCTTTCCGCGCTTCACCTCTCAAGTTTATGTGTTGGAGAGATCCAGAGAGGCGCTGTGGAGGTCGGCGTCGATGCCCTTCTCGACGGACGGATGACTCCCTCCGAACTCTGGAGAAACACTGCGCCGAGCTCCGAGAGCCTCTGAAGCGCAAGCTTGCTTTGACCGTGTCCACCGTCAGCAGAACGGCCTTCTCTGGCGCCGAGACTGGTACGTCGTCGTCTCTCAACTGACTCATCTGCTCGAGGACCTCCCGCCGAAGTTCATGCGATGCATCGAAGGTCTTGGAGCGACAGCTGCTGCGGCTTACGGCGCGGTCGCTCGTACATGATGTGTCACTCCACGCAACAAGTTGCACTACACAACACAATGTGTTTCGGCACGTGTCTTGATCTTACAAGCAAAGAAACACGGGGACAATCCACGTCAGCGCTTGCATGCAAACAAGAGCAGCACAAAATAGATGAATTCTGCGTAGTGGGTCCTTGGCAAAACGATCCCTCAACCCTTATGGAAGGCTGACCCGGGTCCCACCTTGATGCTCCTTCGTCAGCTTTTCCTTCCAGCCGCAGACTAAAATCCCAACGAATGTACCAGTGACGCTTACCGATGCCTCGTCAACAGTGCGGCCAGAGGCAGTCTTTTTGCGCCGTCACAAGGAAAAGATCACAAGCGATGGCACTAGAGTAGTCAAGTCTTGACGACGGGCATACTAAGTTCGCTCGACGAGTTGCCGGAAGCGTCTTGTCTTTGACTCAAAGCTCCGAGTTAACCAGACTACATAGGCTCTGGTTGAGTCGGGAGTGAATTTCCTGAGGGGAGCGAGCTGGGGTGGGCTGCAACGGCCGAGGAAAACCCGATGCCGACATAGGGAAAACACGGTGCCTGCCATGCCACGATGTTCTCCTTGGAGTCCTGCAAAAAAATGTGCTGGGACCTGGCCCCTCAGCATGCACCCTTGTCCCAATGGTGGCAGTCCTCGATGTACTGCCGACGGTTGTGGAGCATTGACTTCAGTTCGTGGCTGAAGCAGCTAAAGCCATCTTCGCCACAGCTCTCATGATAGCTCCAATCCAGGAGTAGCAAAGGTTTGAGCGAGTACTTGTCCAGGAATGGACCTCCATCCAGGAGTCGGCAAACTTCAAGAAGAACGATGCTTCCAAGAAGCAACAAGCTGCTGACATACCATCTCCCGCCGAGAGACCAACTCGTAGCAAATCCAGGACAACATTTCCATCGAATTCCACGAGCCAGTCCCACTGTCCGTTCAAGAGCCTGAGACTTGGAACAGCAGAACAATGCACAGGCAGAGATCACCCACCAATGGGCCCATGATTGAAAGAAAACCGGCAGAATCCCCGGGCCATAGCCACTTGTTCTGCCAAGGACCACGACGGTGGTGTGAATTTTAGAAGCTTCGACGTCAGCCTGGCAGGGGGACGAACTGGAGTTGAGATCATTGCAGACCATAGCTTGCCGGCAGCGAAGCCCCAATGCAGTCGGGAAAAACACAGCATGCGGTATCGCCCACACTGAAAGGCGAACAACCCCAGAACATACAGGACCAGCATGGGTTCTCGATACTTTCTCGCTGAGCCCCTGGCCTCGCACCCGTCACAAACTCCGTTCCAGCTTGAAGAGAAATTGACTTGATCTGCCAGCCCCTGACACTGCAGGACGAAGGTACAGATCTACTGAAAGCCTGAAGGCAGAGCTTTGAGCCTCCGTGGGTCCCTGCAATCCCTGCCTCCTCTTCCAAATACCCAGCGAGGTCTGGTTCGAGCGCTCCCATGTGTCGTGGTCGAGGAACAGAAAGGCATCTACATTCTGGGGAACGCAGGGGATGTTCTTCTCCCGCATGCCACCCTGTCGCTACGACTGTCACATCTTGCTCGAGCGTACTTGTGAGGCTTTTCGCTTCCAGCTCTCGGCAAACTGATGGGTTCACGAGTTTCCAAGCCTCATAGGAGCCGATGTTGTAGGTGTAGACGGCCAGGTGTTTTTTGGCATAGTTTCCAAGGGACTCTGTCCGCTTCTCGTCACAAGTGTAGTCGGCGCCACAGGCCGGGATGTCCTTGCCCTGGTTCTGGTTCGCAGTCTGGTTGACCTGCCACAATTGAAGCTAGGGGACATCGGGTCTTCAGGCTTCAGCGCAGCCTTGAGGTGGCTGATGGCGTGATGCTTCACACCATGCCGCTGCCCACGGGACCCCTTGCAGGAAGACACAAGAAGCACTGCGAAATGCTACGCTCTTCGCTTTACCTGACCTCCTGATCGCTGAGTTCATCTCTGACCACTGAGGTCACTGAAATCCTTAAGTTGCCTTCTTGTGTCTGCGAGCATCATGCCGTGGGCCGGACAGAAGCTCCTCCACCAATTCAGGTTCCACCTCCATGACAAGCGGTGCTTGGAATCACTGCGCATGCACACCCATCAAGCTGTGGCCTCCTGGCGTCTCAGCAGTGTGGGCTGAAGCACTTCCGCACAAGAAGCTGCCAAAGCCAGGAAAGCGGCTAAGCATGTCAAGCGCGCCATGGGCGCCATGAGGTGGCTCTTTGCGGCCTAGTCTCGGATTTGCCGAGGGAAATCTGAATGCTCGAGTGACCAGTGGGAGCAGCACGATGATATGTTAGACTTCTACATGCACATGTAAGTCAAAGGCCCGAACTATCAGTCACGGGCCTGAGAGACCTGCTATCTGAGCCGAGCGAACAGCATGCATAGCAGTGCTCCGTTCCCAGCCACCTGACACCAAAGGATCCATCCTGGTCTTTCCAAGTCCAAGGGACAGGAACTGCGAGCCCAGGGCGTCGGAGACACCGCCACCTCCTGCCGAGCCACCGTCACCACCTCCTGCAGAGCCACCATCGCCACCTCCGGCGAAGCTCCGAGGGCACAGTGGTCAGTGCCCTGTTCTAGCACTCCGTCTCTACCTCTGCAAGCTCGTGACAACTGGCATACTGACTTGCCATTTCAAACTCCCGTGTTGGAAATCCAACCACTGCACTGTGAAGCCAGGCTCTGAGGCTGTGGTGAGATGCACTATAGCCTGCTGGATCTGCACATGATGCAGAATAAGTCTGCAGCCTGATATGGTGGCCGCATCAGCGAAGGCTTCCTGAAAGGACAGGGAAATCGACAAAGGGACCAGGCGCTCGGACGGCCCCTTGGCCTGCAAGGCGGTGAAGTACTCCTGTGGCGTAGCCCTCGGTGGGCTTATGGAAATAAAACCAGAGCTAACCGAAAAAGTCCGAGGGATGAACGCCGTGGGATCCACAGAAACATCAAACTGTACCTGACAGCACCAGGGTCAAGCGGGCCTGTGGATAGGACCGGTGGTGAGGCCCGCACTGCAAAGACTGTGCGCGAGGAAACCTGGCATGCGGCTGCAGGCCGAACAGCACCTTTTGATGCATACGACACTGGAGCAGTCAACCACGACTACGCGAACTGTTTCGGGTTTCAGTCATTCCCGCATGTGCTGGTGTCACGTACATGTCAGAGGGGTGAATGCGAATGTATACAACGCATACAACCGAAACAACCATGACCGGGACCTGGCCGCTCGAAGCGAGAAACGTGCAGAAGAAGTTACATAGCAGCAACCTCGGACGCGACTCGCTCGCAGTAAACAACTGCAATTTGGAACCGTCCAGCGACACGGTGTGACGTGAGTGACAAGATATTGCGAGCTCAGTGAACTCTGCTTCGATGTCAAGACCCCGGCCATGTCGAAATGGTCATACATCCTCATCTGCAAAACACATCGGAGAAACACTTGAACGAACAGCCGGCTTCCCGTGGCCAACAAGCTCGCATCTTGCATCTGGCCTGTGGTACTCAAAGATCTTCTACAGCATGCAGTATGAATGTCCAATCGCGGACATGTCAAATTCGATAGTAGGTCAGTAGCGTGATTGGTTCACAGTCTGCTGCCGACGGGCAACACAGCTGGCTGAGAGCTGTCACGATAAACATGTTTCACTTCGGAAGCTCTGTGCAATCCGGAAGCTGCTCGGAGCCGTCAGAGGCGGTTTTTGTCCATCATGCATGTGTTTGCACGCCAGGACTTTGACGAACGGCGGGGGTGTTTTTCGGCCAAGCAGCAGCATTGCATTCCGTTTCGCAAGCTTGTATGATTCCCGCGTCCCTTTCCTTCGCAAATAACACTTTTTTACCCTCTCCGCCCTCGAATGCCCTATCAGTGACCATGATGGCCATCCCTGCATGGGGCCGAGAAAACACAAAACCGGCAACCAACTCTTCCAGACTCGTTTTGCCGTTCTGGGTCGGGGTTCGTCAGCCCACACACTTCCAGAAGCATTCCGTGGTCTGGTTCATCATATGGGGACGCTGCGCCTGAACTTCCCCTGCAGACAAAGCAAGTGCTCCAGCCACAGATGCGTACGAGACACGGATCCTTGGCCTCCCGTTAAACTCCCTGAAGCTTCCTTTCAAGCCCCGTTTAAGCTCCTTTTTAAGCTTCTTTTTTGAGCCCCCCTTGTCCCCCTTGAAGCCCCCTTTAAGCCCCCTTGAATGTTAGACGTATTGGCTGATTGCTCATGTATTTTGTGTTGCAGTATTCCATGTTGACAGTTGACATTGACATTCTCACTTGACATGTGAACATCACATGTGAACATTGGCTCAAGACACGAGACACGCAAAACAAAGTTGCTGAGTGATTGCAGCATTGAGCCGAGCGTTGCTGTGTTGCTTGCAAGGGATTGAGATCAACATTGAAAGTCTCAGTGATTCAAGTTTTGCTACGACCATTGTATGCTGGAATTTTTTCATGGTAGCGGAGCCCTGCGGCGAAACCCGGGGTACTCCATTGTTCCGAGTAGATTCCCGGATGATTGGGGCCTGCTCATTGAAGACAGTAGGAATGTACAAAAAACTCTGTTTTCGTGAGCTTTGAGATTGTTAGGATCTTAGCTGAACTGCTGTAGAATAGGTGAAGCCCAGTACAAACCTATTGCATGGAAACCAGCCTGTACAGATTTTGAAAGGAAAGGTTTGCCCAAATCTGATTGGACTGGGAGCTTGGTTGGATTCACAACAGTTTGTTCTCAGACGCCATAGACGGTGAACCGTCATGCGGATTTTACTGCATGCAGACATCATGTGTGCATCAACAGATTTTGATTGTTCAGTCATGAGAACATGTACAGTCACTTCGTGTGAGATGTTTGTGATAGGAGATTGCTTGCCAAGTGTATTCGATTGCAGAGATACTGTTGATCTTTTCGCGATGGTGTGTAGGACGTTTTGAGTTGTTTTGTAGGAGATTGCTTGTCTTGCGAAATGACACGCAGAGCAGAGAACGCATTGACATTGAAGTTGAGTCTATTATCGTCATGACTTGATTGACTGAGGTACAGCGTTTGGAGCACGTCGGCCAGGAGAAGAAACAGAAGGATTGAAACAAAAAAATACAAGTAAGGAAGAGGTTTTCAGAAGGTTTAGGATTGACAAGCAACAAAAGAACAAAGGATTGAAAGAAGGAAAGGCGAAAGAAAGCTGAAGTAAAGTGAAAGATGGCCAAAAAGAGCCATTGAGTTTTTGAACAAAATCCGGTGTTTTGCAAGTCTTCTGAGCCTGAATGTCGCAACGTCTTTCATGCTTCGCATGCTCCAGAGGAGGAAAACTACACGAGTGGTCAAAAGCTACAAAATTGCTCTAGCAAAATAGAAGTACAGGGCATAGGGGAAAATGTTGATCACCCCGCCCGAACATCCGCGATAACTTAGATCGTGGATTGTTCGCATCAACAGCATAAGTTACGTCACAGTAGCGACCACTTTCACTTCTACAGTACACAGGCTTCGACGTTGCAAAGAACTACAGCGTATACTACAAGGTCTGCACACACTACGCGCATTCCGTCCGAGGCTCGGTCAGCCTATGACGAAAAGCTTTGCTTGACTCACCCAAGCGTAGGCAGTTTCACGTGTCAAGGAGGCATACAGCCTTATTTTATCCCAGAAAATGCTTGCAATATATTCTCAAAAGATATAAAATTCACTCAAGAGAATAAGTTATAATAAATATTCACTCAAAGCATCACTCGAACTCAAGAGCACTCTTTTTTCACAAGTGGGGAAAGGTCCGGCACGCTGTCAAACACCCAGGTCAACTCGTGCCAGACAGCACATCCCACGAGAGTGCCAAGGTATCGAGGATTATAGCAGGATTGATCTCATCGACGCATAACCTGCTAGGATCATCTTTTTCATTTCATTTCAATCGCCGCACGTGTTAAATTTCTTGAGGTCCTTCTGAAAGCTGTTTTTTCGAGGTGGCATTCAGAAACTCATCATCGCAGGACTGCTAATGATCTGATACAAAGACGATGAGACATTAGGCCCACAGGGAGATTTCTCTTGTACAAAAAGAACAATAGAGACTAAGACTACGTGTAACCTTGCAAAATAGTCAAGAGAAGTGATGGGGAAAGCCCCGGCAGAGCAGGGCGCCACAAATCTGCCACAATTGGCCACAATCAGGTGACGATAAGGATTTAATCAAGTTCATGACAAGGCAAGCACAGCTTTTTGGAAACACCGCGAGCCGGAAGAGTGCTTTTGCGAAGGTCGGCAGTCGGTGTTGGCCTTTGCAGCCTTTGCTCCTGCATGCAGGAACTGCGGTTTGAATATGGTCCAGTGGTCTCGTGAATCTAGTGAGAGTCGTGTGCTTAGGGGTTAGGGCTTAGGGTTTAGGGCAAACTGGGCACAGCGGCCGGCCTTGGGAGGGTGGCAAAATGCCAGCGCCATCCCCAAAATGCCAGTGCCGTCCCCTGAGTCCTCAAGCATCTGGTCAATCCTTTGCTCCTGCATGCAGGAACTGCGGTTTGAATATGGTCCACTGGTTTAGTGAATATAGTAAGTCCTGTGCTTAGGGGTTAGGGCTTCGGGTAAGGACGGTAAGGTAAACCTCG